TACTTTCTCAATTCACTATTATGCAAAGGAAAAAAGAAAAAAAAAACGGTAAAACCCAATCACTCACAACAAAACAAAGAACATCAAAGAATATCAAAAACAAGATAATAGCAAACACAGAAAGATAACGAAAGAAAAAAAAAGAGTAATATCAACAAACACAAGACACAAAGCCAAAACCATCACTCAGATAGAGTCCAAATAAAAAAGAACAAAGCACACAATACCCAGTAACAAACAAAAAATCTCCATTAACCCTCTAACAAAGAAAAGGAGAAAATAAGAGAACAACCATCAAAAGCACAAAGAAAAGAAATACATAACAATCTCTCTCTTCCAGTCGAAGTGTGTGCAAAAAAAAAAAATGAATATATATATATATGTGTATTCCTTATTATTTTTTCTTCCGCACAAAACCATCCATTACCACAATGCAGGACAAAGCACACAGCACCCAAGCAAAAAAATAACTCACAGCCCACTGCGTATATTGCTCTGTGCAAGAAATTAAGAATGCAAATTGTATAAACTATTGTTTTTTTCCTTCGTTCTGCATAGAGCAGACTAGCAAAACCGTACAGGGCAAAACACACAACGACCTAGAAAACCACAAGCAAACAAAGAATCATACATTAACCATTACCCCATCGTACCCAGTAAACGCAGAAATACACCAATTATGGGTGTAAGTCTGTATATGTGTTTATACACAGTTATAAATATAAATTCATCTGTTATTATTATTTCTTTTCCCCTCACTGCAAAAAAGCAGTTCATAATTATCATCATTACAGTGCAAGCCCAGGTGCACACAGAGAGAGTCTCCAAGAACACACACACACAATACCCCACAGCTCTAGTTTATATATTAAAATACTGCACACACACATCTGTGTGTACTAGCAAGAGATGTATACCGTCAGTGAGCAGAACAGCCCAGTTTTCTGCAAACACACTCAACGGGAAAAGCAAGTAATGGAATTAATAGAAAAAGAACACACACACACACACAAAGTAAAAGAAAAAGAAAAGAAAAAGATATTCCAATTAAAAGAGAAAGCTGGTAAACAGATTATTAATTTATTCACCCATGAGGGATGTACGCAATTATGATTATGTTAGTATTATCATTATTATTATTTGTCCTCAGATGAGTCCCACCGTTCAGTACATGGTAACGGAGAACAACATAGCCACAATCAACAGCGGTGCTGCAGTGCGCATCCACACAGGACTGACACTGCTATCAACAATAGCCTTGTTCTTCTGTACAGTGGATGCAATGTTGCTGCTGATCTGTGGGTCGGTCACAGGAGGAAGTGTTGTTGTTGTGGTGGTGGTTGTGGTTGATTCCTCATCATTACGTGGTGTATTGGGAATTTCAGAGTTCGTACTCGCTTCGTTAGTTGTCTCAGTTGTGTTGTTTTGTTGTTGAGATTCCTGTGTAACAGTGTTCTGTTCCTGAACCGTCGCAGCACTGTTTTCTTGAGCGTCAGAACCATTTGTATTGGATCCATCGGAAGAATTGGGTTGTGGTTCACTTTGAGTGTCATTCTTCTCTCCTTCTGCATTCTTCTGTGGGCCTTCAGGTTGTGTGATATCTTCTCTTCCAGCATTTATATTCTGTTTAGCATCACCACCAGCACTCTGCTCAGACAATGTTCCACCACCGCTTCTCTGTTCTTCAGGACGCCCAGCATTATTATTAGTAGTAGTACACGGTGTACCGGTGGAAGCACCAGAAGAAGTCGTGCAAGTAGTAGAATCAGCAGAAGGTGATGCAGGAGGTGGAGGATGAACACCAGGTGCAGGGGGTAGAACGACATTCAGAATCAGACCCAGAACCAGAAGGGCAACGATTATCAGGAAGAACTTCAGGATCTCTGAGAGCCCCGCTAGCGGACACGCAGAGAGAAGCAACACTCAGCAGGAGAGCAAAAAAAAACAGAATACGCGTCGCAGCACCCTCATCACAATAAACTTTAATCCTCTTTTGTTTTCTTAGGTATATGAGCTGTTAAAGAACAAAAAATAAAATATAACAAAAGTAAAATGAATTGGAAACAGAAACACGGGAACGGATGCAACAAACAAGCAACGGTCACACAAAAGAAGAACATTAACATAAACAAAAAAAAAGAAGAAACAGGCAGCTCACACAGAAAAGCCCGAGCAAAAACAAATTATAAACAAATTACGAGCATAGCCAAAAAAAGCCACCAACTGCACGAAAACAGCACAGAGGCCGTACTGTGCATTTGTGCATAAGCAATTATGAATAAATATGTATCAGTTACTCTTTTTTCTGCATAAAGCAAATCAGTACAAGACAAACCACACAAGCAAACAAAAAGATATTAACCATTAGCCCAATTTACCCAGTAAACACAGAAATATACACCAACTATGGGTATAAGTCTATATGTGCATATACGCAATTATAAATATAAATTCATCTGTTATTATTATTATTTCTTTTTTTTTTCACAGCAAAAAAACAGTTCATCATTATCATAGTGCAAGCCCAGGCACACACAGAGAGAGTCTCCAATAACACACACACACAATGGAGGAGCAATAATAAATATTATAGGATAAGCACAAAGAGAGCAAAAACACACACAAAACACATTAACATTAAGAAACAAAAAAAGAAGAGTATAATCCCAACAGGTGGAAGATTAGTTAGACTGTAGGGATTGTATGCAAAAAAAAAAAGAAAAGAAAACAAAGGATGACCTCAGTCACACCACCCACCACCACAATCACAATCATCACACAAGAATACAGGTCAGTGTAACCACAATCAGTAGTGGTACACGTACCCACACAGAACTGCTGATACTGCTGCTGCTGTCTGCATCACCCTTCTTGTTGTTTGTGAGTTCAGGAGGAAGTGTTGTTGTTGTGGTTGTTGTTGAGGTGGTGGTTGATTCCTCATTACTGGGTGTAGTTGTGGTGGTAATGGTGGTTTCTGCATTTCCTCCCTCATTTTGTTTGTTTAATGATTCACTCTCTGCAGATGAAGTTCCGCTCTCTGTTGTTTCAGTATCCGCAGCTCCAGCACTTCCCGTGGTTGAACTGCTGGAAGAAGAAGAAGAAGTTTGTGGTGCTCCACTTCCTTGGATAGCCGCACTTCCACCTCCTGCATTGTTGCTGTCCCCTTCAGTTTGCACCTCACCCGCAGGATCAGCCGCATTGAGATCTGCCCTAGGTTCAGCAGATTCAGCAGGTGTTTGATTATGTCCAGTACCAGAAGCACCAGCAGAAGAACCGGAAGAGCCCGTCCCACCATCTTGACCACGATCACCAACGCCACCCATTTCAGGAGTTCCGTCACGAGAACCAGAAATACGATCATCTCCAAGTTGACCTTGAACTTCATGTGTTGTTGCAGGAGGAACTGCGGGTGTTTTAGGAGGAGGTGGTCTTTTTTTCTCAGGAACCACCTCTTTAGGAACTTCAGGTACTTTGGGAGGAGCAACCGGTACTTTTTTCTCTGGAACAACTTCTTTTGGTGCCTCAGGTACGTTTCCAGGAAGAACTTCGGCCTTTTCCGGACATGTCTCACCTTCAGAAGGTTCACTACCATCAGGGCATTTGCCATCAGCACCAAGTCCAGGTGTTTCTTGATGTGCCATTGTATCTTTCGCACATTGAGGAGCACCATCAGTGCACTCGGAACGCTGGGTAACAGGATCACTTCGAAGAAGAATCTTTGTCTCACTCTCCGTATCAGGGACTTGGTCGGAAAGATCGGCGGCAGGCACTTCTTCAGCGAGGACGTGCACACACGCACATGAGAGCAGGAGAGCGAGGATACACAGCACGTAGCGCATCATCATTATCATTGCAATACTTCTTGTAGTAGTCTTACTTCATTCGCTTACAGACAAGGAAACAGGTAGAAAAACCAGAAAGAAAGTGAATCAATGTAAACAAGAAAATAAGAATACACAACAATTACAGCAGAGGCACACACATGAAAAAAACGTGCAATCATAACTCATATAGTGCCCAAATAAAAGGAACAACGCATACAATACCCAATAACAAACAGATAATCCCAACTAACCCTTCAAAAGAAAAAAAAGAAATTAAAGAGAACGACCATCAGAAGAGTAAGGCACAGAAATACATCAAAACGCCTCTTCCTGTAGGACCAAGCACATTTACAAATATACTTATGTATTTTTTATTATTTTTTCTCCCCACAAAACAATCCAACATACAACAATGCAGGAGAAAGCACACAGCGCCCAAGAAAAAAAAATAAAAAAAAAACACAAATTAAGAACAGGACCAAACGCACAAAATAACTCACAGGCCACTGAGTATGTTGGTCTGTTCAAGTACATAAGAATACAAATTGTAATAACTACTATTTGTTCCTTTGCTCTTATAAAACAGATTACCAAAAACCGTGCAGGGCAAAAGCACAGAATGACCCACGCAAACTAAAGCAAACTAAAAGATATTAACAATTAGCCCAATTTACCCAGTAAACACAGAAATATACACCAACTATGGGTGTAAGTCTATATGTGTATACATACGCAATTATAAATATAAATTCATCTGCTATTATTATTTCATTTTCCCACTGCAAAAAGCATTTCATCATCATTATCACAGTGCAAGCCCAGGCACACACAGAGAGAGTCTCCAAGAACACACACACAATACCCCATGGCTCTAGTTTATGTATAAAATTACTGCACATATCTGTGTGTACTAGCAAGAGATGTATACCGTCAGTGAGCAGAACAGCCCAGGTTTCTGCAAACACACAACGGAAAAAGCAAGTAATGGAATTAATAGAAAAAGAACACACACACATAAAAGTAAAAGAAAAGAAATTCGAATTAAAAAGATAAAGCTGGTAAACAGATTATTAGTTTATTTATTCACCCATGGGGGATGTACGCAAATATGATTATGTTAGTGTAACCATTATTATTTGTCCTGAGATGATTCCCACTGTTCAGTACACAGTAACGGAGAACAACACAGCCACAATCAGTAGTGGCACACGTACCCACACAGAAGTGATACTGCTGCTGTCTGCATTACCCTTGTTCTGTACGGTGGAGGCGATGTTGCTGATCTCTGCGTTAGGTACAGGAACAGGTAAAGAAGAGTTATTCATTGTGTTTGATGTTTCTGTGTGAGTGTTAGTGGTGGCCGTTGAGTCAGCATTGGCATTCTCGTGTGAACCTTCTGTAGCAGTTGAACCTGAAGTTGAAGTGGACTGATGGGTAACATTAGAGTCACTTATTGTGGTTTGTTTATCATTGTCATTCGACGATTCGTGGTTACTTTGTGGTGCTGCATTAGACTCGAGAGGTTGGTTTTGTGTAGTAGTCGTACCTGGTACTTTTGTGTTTCCCTCGGCTCCACTTTGTGAATTAATTTCTGATGCAGAATTCTCAGAAGAGGACACTGCATCACGCACTGATTCTGTTTTCTCTTGTTTATTCTCCAGTTCCTTGTCTTTTGCCTGTTTCTGTTTTGATGATTTTTCTTCCGTGACACCAGCCTCTGCTTCGTGTGAACCTACAGAAGTGACCTCAACAGGATGTTCAGCCTCTTCCCGTGCGACAGGTAATGCAGGCTTTGGAGAATCAGCAGCATCACCTTCACTACTAGAGTGACTTCCTGCTTCACTGGTCTCCTCTGTTCTGGAGAGCTCTGCATTAGCGGAACGTCTACCAGGGTCAGTGGTGGAGTCGGCTAAATGCGCAGAATGATCATCAACTCTATCGTTATGTTGCGGTTGCTCGTTAAGTAACTGTGGTTCTTTTATTCCCTTCGCAACTGCTTCATCAGGCATTTTTGTTTTGCCCCATGATGCACAATGTTTTTTATTCTTATGTCCTTCAACTTTGTTTTGCATACAATAATAAACTTCTTCACTAGTATCCGGAACCCAGGGAAAATAGGGTTTGTTCTTATCAAGCGAATAATCAACGGGAGACTTCACAACCACTGGATCTCCAGCAGCAGCCGCCATGGTATACCCGCAGGCGCAGCACAGCACAACGGCCAACACACACATCACACGGCCCATCATCATAACGGTCATCGTCACTCGTCTTCTTGTTGTTCTCGTCAGTTGAGTTCACAGGTCTACGCAGGGAGTGTGGAAAAGTAAAAGAAGAAGAAGAGAGAAAGGGAGACACATAGTGAGTGGATGCAGGGCACAAATACTCACAGTGGGATAGAGAGAGAGAAGCAGCAACAGCACAGTAAAGTAAAAGAAAAGAAATATTCCGCTTGAATGATAATAATATGTATCCCTTAATAAAAAAGAAAAAACCCCACAATACCCAAATAAGAGAGAGAGAGCCATACACACACACAATACCCCATGACTCTAGTTTATGTATATTAAATTACTGCACACACACACCTGTGTGTACTAGCAAGAGGTGTATACCGTTAGTGAGCAGAACAGCTCAGTTTTCTGCAAACACACATTCAACGGAAAAAGCAAGTAATGGAATTATTAGAAAAAGAACACACACACATAAAAGTAAAAGCAAAGAAATTCGAATTAAAAAGATAAAGCTGGTAAACAGATTATTAATTTATTCACCCATTGGGGTGGATGTACGCAATTATGATTATGTTAGTTTAACCATTATTATTATTTGACCTTAAATAAGACCCACCGTTCAGTACACGGTAGCAGAGAACAACACAACCACAATCAACAGCGGTGCTGCAGTGCGCATCCACACAGGACTGACACTGCTGTCAACATTAGCCTTCTTCTGTACAGTGGAAGCAATAGTGTTGATCTCTGTGTTTGGTACAGGAGATGGAGTGGTGGTTGGTGCTTCTGTGGTAGTGTTCTCGGTGCTCGGTGGAGTAGTGGTATTTGTTTCTTTTGTGTCTGGTGCGGCAGTCACACTTGTCGCTGCAGAACTTTGATTACTGGGATTACCATCACCATGTGCAGTGTTATCAGATGTGTTGTTCGGTGTTCCTTGATCACCTTGTGGTGCTGCATTGGACACTTCTCCTTGCCTTTCTGCTGTCAACGTTCTTTCTGCATTCTGTCCTTTGGCTTCATCAGCAGTTACAGGGCCTTCTGATTCAACCTCTTGCTTTGGACTTCCACGGGCATTTACTCCTTCGGCTGTAACTCCTACACGTTCTCGACCTTGTCCCTCAATCACTGGATTTTGCATTTCAGCTGCACCAGGGCTATGTGCACCACCAGGTTGTTTGATATCCCCCTCTCTTCTTGTGATATGGTCCTCTGCACGGTCTGCTGAACTTTGTCCAAGGTTAGCTACTTGCTCTTTCCGGTGAGACTTTAACCACTCCGAACACTTTATTCCTTCAACATCATGATTTGTGTCACCCTCATTCTCTGGACACTCCTCTGCAAGATTCTTTTCCATATTCTCATTATTTGTACTTTGCGTCTTAAGAAAATCATCCCATTCCCAATGACTACCTTGGTTCTCACCGTACGGGTTAGTAGTCTTTTCATTGGCAGCAGATCCCGCCATGGTATACCCGCAGGCACAGCACAGCACAACGGCCAACACACACATCACACGGCACATCATCATCATCATCGTGAGAGAGAGAATAGTTTGGTTTGCGTAAAAACACTGATCTAGAAAGAAAGAGAACCAAAAAAAAAATAAATAAATGAAGTATCAAACATGTTAGGACACACAAATCGATTACCACTATAGAAACTCACATCGTGAAAAGAAAAACCCCACCAGTTAAAGAAGGCAATACAGCGCAATAACCTCAGTAAGAGTGAATAGAAAAAAAAACAAAAAAAGCCCACACTCAAAAATATCTCAAAAAAGACTGAACCACCCAGCAAAACAAACAAGCAAATAAACAGCTATTATAAATTGGCCCAATTTACCCAGTAAGCGCAGAAATACAACAACTATGGGTGTAAGTCTATATGTGTATATATACGCAATTATATATATAAATTCATCTGTTATTATTATTTCTTTTTCCCACTGCAAAAAGCAATTCATCATCATTATTATAACAGTACAAGCCCAGGCACACACAGAGAGAGAGAGAGAGAGAGAGAGAGAGAGAGAG